TAAGCATATATGTAAGCCAAAAGAAGGGGTTAGGAGAGTCACTTATTCCATCTGTAGTCAAGAAAATCTTCCCACGATCTTGGACCTTTCAAAGGACAGGCAGGCATTTTCTAGCCAGGCAAATGGTAGCGCTTAGGGGAGTGAAGTGTGCTGCCGAAAACTGAGACAGCGTGTACAAATGCCTGGAGGACTGAAATTGCCTGGTTCCAAGGGAAAGCCAGAAAGCATTTGGAATTGCTGAAGAGGACTATGCAAGGAACACAGTGGCACAGTGGGAGAGACCGGATATGGGAACGAATTTCAGGAAGTGAAGTCCTGGGCAGAGCTGGCTGGCGGCTACCGTATCTAAAGCAAGAGATAAGGACTGGTTCAACTACACAGCTCTCAGTACTGTTGAAGGGGGAAAAGAATAAAAGATTTAAGAGGCAAAGAGCTACAGCTTGTAGGACCTGAAAGATGGTTGCTGGACTCAGAGACAAAGGAGATTGAGAGGACCTCAGAGATCTGTGTGTGTGGTGACTGACAGGATGGAAATGGGGCCAGCAAGGAGGGTGGCTGAGACTGTCCAGGTCCTAGAGAAAAGAAGGCTGGAATAAATAAGGGTGCCACTTTGAAGGGACTGGGCTTGGAGTGGAGACGCTTGGGTAAGAGCCTGCAACAGTTCCTCATCACTCAAATGTCTGCTGAAAATGGAAAACACAGCTGTCATTGCAGTAGACAACTGTGAGGTGACCCCAAGACCTGCACCTCACTCTCCTCCCTGTGAGGTGGGTGGGTGGGGCCTATACTTGCCTTTAACAACAGAATATGGTAAAGGTGGTGGGATGTCATGGCAGGGACTGTGCTAGGAAGGTCCTGCCCTCCACCCACCCTAGCGACCTAGTGGAGGGGGGATGAGGTAAGTGCCCTGGGTGAGAAGTGCCAAGGCAGCACCACCCGTTGAGGTAGAGGATAGTGTCCAGCTGACCCAGCCATGAGGCAGCCCCAAGGAGAGTTGCTCTACCAACAGGATTGGTGAGCTGGGTGGTGGGTTCTACCCCACTCCTGTTCCAGATGAGACCATAGCCCGGCTGCCTCCTTCCCCACAGCCACACCCAGACTCCTGACCCTGGATAATGAGAGAGCCTTTACATACAAAAATTTGTTACAGCAGCAGTTGGCAACTGGTACAATCACACAGTGGTACAATGAGACCAGAGGAAAATTGCTTTCACCTCCAAGGTTTGGAAGACTAGGGGAAAGGGAGACCTGAAGAAGCAGGTCCAGGCTGCTGTGGAACAGGCAAGCTGGCTCTAAGCCCAACCACTTTCCAGCCAACTCCTTTCCAGGGCACATCAGAGCTTCTCATAGAAAGACCATCTCACACCTCCCTAAATGCTGCGTGGGTGAAGGTAGGACCTTCTGTGCCAAGATCCGCCTGGTGGATGGACTGTCTGTCCCTCGGGGGAACTGGTCTCCACCAGAGAATCAGACCAGGGCCAGGAGGCAAGACACACAGGTCAGCCCTCTGCCTCCCACACCTGTGTCTTTCCTGCCTACTGACACCAGTCACAGTGTCCACTGTCTCTCCCAAAGCCTTGGCTACTTGGGAAGAAAGCTGATGTCCTTTTTCCTGCCTTTACATCCAGGAATCGTACCAGTGGATGAAGATCCCACTGGTATGAGAGGAGTACGAGAGGGTGTAGTATTTGCATAGAAACAACATACATCTTCCCTTCTACAGTATTTAAGATCAACTCTAGATGACATGTGATTCCTTATGTAACATAAATGTGTAAATTGGTGTAGTCCTGCAGTTCAGGGGATAATGTCAAGAAAAAAAAACATTGCACACACTCAGTAAAGCACAATTTATTTTTCCTACTACAAATGTTTGATCCAAGGTTGGATGACTTGCTGGATGAAGATCCCACTGGTATGAGAGGCTGGCTCCACTGTCATTTTCAACCTAAAAAGGACAAAAGCCAGGGTCCAGGTGACCAGGGCAAATGCCTAGCTGCATGACTCCTCATGAATGCATTTGTCCTCCACTGTGGCAAGTAGAAGCGACAAGACACTAGCTATGTTCTTTAGCCTCTCCCCTGACTTACATATAAAAGTCACAAAAGTCAAATCAGAAGCTCTGCAGCTATAGGAAAATTTCCTTCTGTTTTGAAAAGAACTGAAGTTCTGGACAGCAAGCTGTGCTCATGTAGAATCTGTGCTGCCTGCAGAGTGCCACTTGGCTCTGCAGCTTGGCATGTCAAGGGACATCACTGCCTGGATACTGTCCCTCCTGTGGGGGCTGGTAAGGGTGGATTCTGGATTTGGCCTGTTCAACATGGCGACCTGAGTGCTGGGCACAGAGGCAGTTCTCACACAATATTTTTTACACAGTAAATAAGTGGATAGATGGATGGATGGATGGATGGATGGATGGATGGATGGATGCATGATTACTGTAGAAGGGATGAGGCACATTGTTTTATTGCAAATACTATACCCTCTTCTATAAGGGATGGATGGATGGATGGTTGATGGATGGATGGATGGATGGATGGGTGGGTGGTTGGATGGGTGGTTGGATGGCTGGATGGACAGGAGAAAGAATGGATAAATTAAGGGCTGAATGGAAGCAACCGAGCCCAACTTGAAAGGATCAAGAGAGACCAGTTCAACTCCTTTAAATCCTAGTTCCTGCTGTCTGCCATGGACTCTTGGGTATTTTAGGCCTATGAGGTGCAAAACACCAGTGAAAAAGAAAGTTTTCTCTTTATTGTTTTAGCCACATAGCTCCCAAATGTGATTTTAAATGACCATGGACAGGGATGTTTGCTGGCTTTTGCATCCAGTTGAACAGTTTCTTTAAAATGCAACAAGTTGAAAGACAGACATCTTCCTGCCATGCGGAGTTCTACATCAGCAGCTTCACATACCCAGACCCTGAGCAGTTGAGTGGTCACATGGGGAGCTTAAGAGGAGGCCCATTTCAACAACAACAAAAAAATGGATTCCTACCATGGTCTGTAAGGATTGCAAATAAACTAATAAATTAAGCCAAACTGACCCTGCAGATGCCTCTCTGGGCATTCCAATGCCGAGGCTCCAAGCATATTAGTTTTATCTATGTCACTGAAGTTTCACCAGAGCCCCTGAAGGCCGGGTCCCCACAGCTGATCTCTTGATAGCCACATGCCAAGGCATGCCAAGCTCAGGTCTGCTCTTGCAGTAAAGGACACACGGCTCCAAACATGAGAGAAGACACAGTTTTCCTGTCTTCTTGTGCAGAGCCATGATCTCACCCTGCCTCGCCTCCTGTCTCCAAAATGCATCCCTTGGAGGCCAAAGAAGGAGGCTGTCAGGAGGGCTAGGGACTCCGTCGGTGAGAAAGGCTGCTTTGTTAGGAAATCCCATTGGGTAGGGACATTTGCCAAATTGGCCATGGGAAGATGAGGACAAAGCCAGGGTGATCGAGAGAGGCAAATAATGATATGGAAACTTTTTCCACCAGCCTTGATCCTTGGAGAAAGCTATTTCCAGATGAGGCCTTTCATCGACTTCTTACCGAGAGACGGCAAGGCGCCTCCGACACATGTTCAGTGCCATTTGGGTCACCCAACACAAACAGGCAGATTCCACCAACTCTCGGCTGCCCAGGAGCCATTTACCAAGATATGGGCTGCCCAGAACCTTGGCTTCCTCCTCTACAAATCTGTTTGTGTCACCCTCAGCTGCTCCCCAAGAGGATCCTGCAAGGAGCAGCCGGCTGCTTCTCTGGTAGCATCCGTAGGAGTATAAAATGTCATTGCCTGCCAGTGACAGGCCTTCCCCATCAACCATTTTGAGCTTTTCATTTAATAGTGAAGGAAAGCGAGGTGCACACTGGGGACTCAGTGGCCACAGTGGACTCCAGTGGTGAAGTCGTAAGACCTCCAGTCTCGTGCTCTCTCAGCCATGCCAAGGACCAGATTCCAGCACAGCTGGGCTGGGAAAGGTTGGCATCAGTGGGCTGTGAGCGCCAGAATTTGTGTCTTCTCAATTCCTAGGAGACAACTCCGTGTACTTCCTGAACTTGCAACCTAAGGTTGTTGGCCAAGCCAAATTCAACCAATCAACAGTGGCCACCTTCAGGGCTATGGGGAAAAACAAGGAGCGCCATGATATGATGGCGCTATTTCCTGGCTCCCAAGCTAGCGTGCTCAGCTGGAGTCAGGGTCTGGTGTGACCTCTGGTGACCCACACTGCACCTTTCTTCTGTCTGAGTCTTCTTCAGAAAAGAAACATCTTCTGCTCCAGGATGCTTGGCAGGATTCTCTCCATCCATCAAGGCACAAGGATGCCATCTCTCCAAAGCCTCCCGCCTCCCACAGCCCATGCAGAAAGCCGCATGTCCGTCACTGCACACCTGCAATCCCAGCTCTCGGGGAGGCTGAGGCAGGAGAATTGCAAGTTCCAGCTCTGCCTGGGCAACTTAGGAACTTAGGAGGATGCTGTCTCAAAATGGAAAATAAAAAACGGCTAGAGATGTACCTCAGTGTGAAACCGCTGGGTTCAATTCCAGTATTGCAGAGTAATAACAATAGTAATAACAGAGCAATCAAGCTGTGACAGGAATGCACGGCTGAGCCCTGTGTGACACAGCACAGTCTTGTTCTGTGCCAGGGTGAGTTCCTGGGTGCCAGGCTCTTTTACCTAAGTAGAAAAGGTTTCAGGATATCCCCATGAATAATAAGCAGTAGAATCAGCCTGCAAAGTGAGCTTGACTTTAAAGTACACACGTGTGTTCTATTACAGCTAGAAGATGAGGAAGACTTGGGGGTTCCCTTCCTCCACCCTTTCTTCTCCTGTGCTCATCCACAGCCTTCTGTAGATCATAGTGAGGTTCCGACAACAGCAACATTTTCTCAAATGCCAATCCTAGCACTGTATATGGCTAAGCAAATTAATTTAATATAAATTCTTGGCAGCAAAATAGGTCATAGTTGACCCAAGCTAAGCAGATGTTAGCAATCACTTATGCTGGGATTCAGTCCTCAGAACTGAGGAAGGAAGTTAGATACAGATAACATCCCTAAAGACTTCAATTAGCCCTTTAAATAGAAAAATAATCACCCAAAAATGTTCCAAATTTCTTCCCCATAGCAAACATCTACAAGCTTTTCCTTACTAAGACAGAAAGTCCAAAAAGTATTAACACTGATATTATGGTGAATAAAAACTACTGCCAAAATAGTGAATTAATTATCCAGTGGCTGTCTGTAAGAAAGCAAACTTAGGAATCTGTGGTAGGGAGAGAGTGCGAAGGGAGGTAGGTAAAAAGTATGGATTTTTTTAACATTATTAAGATTTCTGACATAGTTTTCAAATTTCTTTTAAGACAGGATTATTATTGGTTTTGCCAGTAGAATGGCTGGGGGATGGCTGAAACCCTTAAGTCTCTATCATCCATCCCTTCCGCAACAATATTCTTCCTTTCTTTTTTCTTTTTAAAATTTTTCTTTATTTGATACAGGGTCTCACTATGCAGCTTGGATTCATGGTGATCATGGTGATGCTCCTGTCTCAGCCTCCCCAGCACTGGGATTATATGCGTGCACCCCCATGTCTGGTTTCCGGACTGGCACAGTGCACCCAGAGTTCCAGGTAGGCACAGCATGTGGTACGAGGGATCAAACCTGGGTCCTTGAGCTTGCAGTCAAGCCCTTAGACAGCTGAGCTATCTCCCAAGAAGCCACCTTCTTCTTCTTCTTCTTCTTCTTCTTCTTCTTCTTCTTCTTCTTCTTCTTCTTCTTCTTC